TTTTTTTTTTTTGCCACGGCAAAATTTGTGACGCACTCTTCTTCCGCCAACCGCGTCGCTTGCGGTCGGCCGTGTTCCGGCTCAGCCAGGCCACGGAAGGGAAAAAAAGGAGGCAGGCGCCAAACGAGTCGCTTGCGTGATTTGGGCTCCAAAGTTCGCAGGGGCTGTCAAACAACACTTTCTGCCCTGAGCATTATCGCCGCAGTCGTGCAGTGCGGTCCTGTGACGGTACGTCGAGTGCCACCCTCGAGCTGACCAACGTGGCGCCATATCATTACCTCCGTCCAGATCGCTGCCACTGTCCCCACACACCCGAGTCGAATCGCACTGGCTTTATCAAGACGCGAACTCGCTGCTTCTTTGCTCTTCCCCACCACATCTAGCTCACCCTACCGGCCTGTCGCTCGCCTCCGCTTGAACACCGTACCTCTTCCTTACCCAATACTGCCAGCAAGATGACGGTCGGAACCACCAACGGTGCCTCCAACGGCCACAGCAACGGCCACGGCGATGCCCACTCTTCGTCCATCGGCTTCTCCACCAAGGCCATCCACGTCGGTTCCGAGCCCAACGCGGCCACAGGCGCTGTCATTCCTCCCATCAGCCTCAGCTCCACTTTTGCCCAGGATGGCATCGGCAACCACAAGGGCTACGAATACTCGCGATCCGGCAACCCCAACCGCGACTCGTTTGAGCGTGCCGTCGCGGCGCTAGAGGGCGGCAGCCGCGGTCTCGCCTTCTCTTCCGGCTCGGCGGTCACCGCCACTGTGCTCAACTCGATGCCCTCGGGCTCCCACATTGTCAGCGTCAACGACGTCTACGGCGGCACCTACCGCTACTTCACCAAGGTCGCCACGGTCTCCCAGGGCATCCAGACCACCTTTGTCGAGATGGACGGCACGGCCGACGACGTCTCGGAGCGCGTCAACGCTGCCATCCGCAAGGAGACCTCGCTCGTTTGGATCGAGACGCCCACCAACCCCACTCTGCGCGTCATCGACATTGCTCTCATTGCCAAGCTGGTGCGCAACCACCCCAACGCCAGCAAGGACATCAAGATTGTCGTCGACAACACGTTCATGAGCCCCTGGTTCCAGAACCCGCTCGCGCACGGCGCCGACCTCGTCATGCACAGCGTCACCAAGTACCTCAACGGTCACAGCGACGTCGTCATGGGTGTCGCCGTCACCAACGACGAGGCATGGGCCGACCGCATCGCCTTCCTGCAGAACAGCATCGGTGCCATCCCATCGCCATTTGACAGCTGGCTTGCCCTGCGAGGCCTCAAGACGCTTGCGCTCCGTATGAAGGCGCACGGCGAGTCGGCGCTCGCCATCGCTCAGTTCCTCGAGGCGCATCCGGGCGTCGAGACGGTCATCTACCCCGGCCTCCCATCCCACCCTGGTCACGAGGTGGCACGACGACAGATCTCGAAGCGCGCGGCCGCCGCAGGCCCTACGGGAGCCAACGGCGCCTTCGCGTACGGCGGCATGATCTCGTTCCGAATCAAGGCGGACCCCGCCGACGATGCTCCGGCTGACAAGCTGCTCTCTAGCCTCAGCGTCTTCACCCTCGCCGAATCGCTCGGCGGCGTGGAGAGCTTGATCGAGCTGCCGTCCAAGATGACCCATGGCTCCGTAGCGCTCGAAGACAGGATCAAGATCGGCATCGGCCACAACCTGATCCGAGTCAGCGTCGGTATCGAGGACACGGCGGATCTCATCCAGGACCTCGAGCGTGGTCTCAAGGCGGCTGGCCTCTAGATTCTTTCCATCTCCCATCCGGCAAGCGTGTACGCGCATAGACTTCCGAAGCTCACACGCGTCCGAAACTGTAGAGGAGGTCCCCAATCGCATATTCTGGTCAAGGTCATTTCGCTGGTTGCTCTCTTCTTACCCGTCGGCAACGCTGCAGGGCTGCAGTGCTGCTCGATTGTACTTTGTTCCATCCCCTGCATCCCTAAGCATACCATTTCTCCTTCCAATCGCTGAATTACTCGTGTAGGTGCACGCATTGCTGTGTGTATGCTGGGTATCTTACGGCGAGTCTCACCTGCCAAGAATAGGCCCTCGCTGGTTTCAGAGGGTCTTGGGCGGAGTATCGCTGCGAGAGGCGCGGGTGATGTCAGAAGCGACGCAAAATCGGGCTTCCCCGCCTCCACACAGGCAGAGCCAAAAATATCTCGGCGCGCTGCTTAGGCGAACTTTTCAGTCATATTCTGCACCTCCGCATCTGACAGAGCCAACGAGAAGATGACTGCTGCTGGGATGGGATAGGCCGAATGCCATGTGCCCTCCCTTCTTTGCCTCCATCCATCATCATCTCTGAATCAACGGGCTCTCTCGTCCATAGCGCCTGTGCCTTTCATCTATCTAAACCATACGATCGAGTTTTTGCTGTCGAGAGATGCTGAACCGATCCTTCTCGACTTCGGCGGCCCGCGCCTGCGTCCTGGGCGACCAGCGCGTGGCGTCCAGAGTGCCTCGCCTCGCCACCAAGCCCCTCAGCGCCGCTGCCTACACTTCTGCAGGTGTTCACGGCCATGCCCGCGTCCAGTCCCACGCCAATGCTTCCGAGACGTACGCTTCCAGGCGCAGCGTCTCTGAGGCATTCAGCCTGCTCGCCGGCTCCAAGGTCTCCGCCCACACCGGTCTGCGTGGCCGTCACGCCTCGACGTGGGCCAAGGCTTCCCCGGCTCACGTGCGAACACTCACAACCACGAGCGCCCGCAACGACCTCAAGCAGGATGCCAAGGACAAGCTGGTCGAAGAAGGCAAGAAGTTTGCGCGCGAAAAGGTCGACGAGAAGCTCAGCGGCGAAGAGGTCAAGCAGCAAGCCAAGAACGCATCGTCTTCGCTCAGCAAGATCCTCTTTGGCGCACTCGCCGTGGCGGGTGCTGCCTACATGATCATGGGCGGCACTGCCCATGCCGAAGAAGCCCCCAAGTCCAAAGATCAGGGTGAGTCTGGCCCCAGGTACTCGAAGGACAAAGTGTCTCTACTGTGTCTCGTGGGTCCCTCGCTCTCGGGAAAATCCACCCAGGCTAAACGTCTTCTCAAACGCTTCTCTTCCGAAATCGACGATATCGTACAGCCCAAGTCGCTTGATGACCTCAACGCCATCCTTTCCTCTCGCACCAAGGGCAACAAGAGGGTCTCGCTCATCCTCGACAACTTTCCCTCCACCCTCGAAGACGCCCAGCGCATCGAAGCCGAAATCGTTCCCATCTTTTGCTTCTCCTTCTACGACCTTCCGCTGAAAGACTTCGAACTGCGCCTGCCCAAGTCCCTCAGCGAGGAGGACAGGCAGAAGCGCATCGACGAATTCAACAAATACTCCAAGCGCCTCGAACCGCTCATCCACAAGTATCGCGACCAAGGCAACATTTACGAAATCAGTGCCGACTGGGACTCCGCCGATGAGGTTTGGGAGCAGGTCGAGGCCAAGACTGAACAGATCCTCGAGCTCAGAGAACGAGGCGACCTCTGAGTTCGCACCGACCCCATCGCAAATCCTCACGTCAGTCCCGTTTACGCAAGCAAGCCACTCAGCAACCGATATCCCAGTCTCTCAATCCCCAATGCCCGCGGCGATGCCGCACGTCTGCTCCAGCCCCCTGAACGAATCCTGTTCCTCGCATCCAGTCTTCGCAGCAGTCTCGCAAAGTCAAGTTCGCATGATGCTCTTCAGCCTGAGTGTGTGTTCGAATCGCAGAGCACAAGTCCGATCAAGCTGGTGGGGAGGTTGATGTTGGAGAAGGTGCCTCATCGCCGTCCGCTGGATGTTCAGTGACATCCACAACGTCCTCGTCCGATTCAACATCAGCCTGAACCTCGGCCAGAAGGGCAGGAAGGCGGCCAGGCTCTGCACCTTCGAATAGCCAAGCGTGACTGTGAGGCGCGAGTCAATACACGGCGGGTCAGTAAGTGGCGCTCTCTGATGGCTCGACAGCATGCATTTTGGGACGTACCTATTCATGAGGCGCTCGGGATGCTTCAGCTCAGCATCGCTACTCTCTTTGACGCCGCTAGCGGGTCTTGAGTCCTCCTCGTCGTGCTGCTCCACGCGCTCGCGAGCCTGTTGGGCAGCCGGGGTGCCGACAACCTCCTCGTCGGGCTGGATCTTGGGCAGTGGCCATCCCAGCCTGCGGCAAAGGTACTCGACAATGTGGTCGCAGTCGCCCAAAAGCATAATGTCCGTCGCCATGTGCAGGATGGGCGTCTTGTTGATCAGGATCACAGGCGTCGTATGAGGAATGTGTCCAAGGACATCCGACACCGGAGCGACTTTGAGCGAGGTGCCCATGACCACAAGCAGGTCGACGTGCTCGCGGTCGGCCAGCAGCGCCCGGTCAAAGTCATCCGACAGCTTTTCGCCGAAAAAGGTGATGTCCGGCTTCAGGATACCAAAGCCCGCCAGAGCCGTCTCATCCTCTGCATCGTCGTCATCGTCGTCGTCGTCGGTGGGACGCCAGCTGCCGCCGTTTCCGAGCTTGCGCTTCTTCTTGCTGGGCTTCTTGGCGGCTTGGCGCGCCTTGCGCTCTTCGCATGCCGGACACGCAGGCACCGTCTGCGCAAATATGTCTTTGGCGATCTGACGGCCGTTGCACTTGTAGCCACACGTGGGGTCGGTACAGCTCGCGGTGGCGAAGCTGCCGTGACACTGCAGCACACGCTCGATGCCTGCGAGCTGTTCGAGCGTGTCGATGTTCTGGCTGTAGTTGCGCAGCAGCTGGTCGCGGTCCTCGAGCAGCTTGATGAAGCGGTGTGCCGAGCTCGGCACGAAGTTGCTTGGAAAGATTCGGTGCGCAAACGAGTAGAACATGGCCGGGTTGTGCAGGAAGTAGCCCTTGTCGAACATGTCTTGTGGGTCGTCGAGCTCGTACTTGCCCTCGGACTGGAGCTGGGAATAGATGCCGTCCTTGGAGCGGAAGTCCGGGATGCCGCACGAGACCGAAATGCCGGCACCGGAGAGCACCATTATGCGCTTGCTGCGCTGCAGCAGCTCCAGCGCATCGTCCACGGTGTTATATTCGGGCAGCTTTTCTCTGCGCCGTAAGATGCGTGCCAGCGCCGTCTTGAGGATGGGCAGCAGCACCTCGAGTGGCGTATCGGCCTCGCGCATGGAACGCGGAAGGAAGACGCCGAGCGCCAACAGAAGATGCTTGATGCGCCGTGGCTGCGGATCCGGCACGACGTAGCGCTGCAAGAAAGTGACAATGCCGTGCTGCTTGAGGTCCTTGGTCATCTGCGCTACTGTCTCGGGGGAAAAGGCATCGGCTGCCTCATCGAGCAGCCGATCGATCTCGGTGTCGGATTCCGACTCGGCCTCCGCCATCTCTTCCAGCGCCGACAGCTCTTCCGAGTCCATAGACTGGTACGACACATCTTCCTGCACTGCATCTACCGCAGTCCCGTCTTGCGTTGCGGCTCCTTCGCCCGCGTGCGGAATCGTCGAAGACGTTGCAGGCGCCGCTGCTGCGCTGGACGACGATGCCTCGCCGCCGTTGGCATGGGCTGCTGCCGTGCGAGCGCCGGAGGCAGAGGAGGCCCCAGCTCGCATCATGTCTTGCTTGCGACTATGACGTTGCGATGTTGATACGGCAAGGTGAATTCGTGCATGACAGCTGTTGCTTCGGATGTCGGTTGTGCTCACAACGCTTTCTTGACGTGCCGATCCTTCTCGCCCGATGAGGTTGCATTTCCTTCGCGCGACCCTCCAAACTCGAAATTCGCTTCTGTGTGCATAAATCTTCCGACTCTACTTCTCTCGCACAGAAAGCCTGTCCTGAGCCGCCGTTCTGGCAGTCAGCACGCGCGAAGAATTGGTCCATCCATATATACCGACTCGAGCCGCGCTTCTTCCCTCTGCCCCCCATGCACTCCCTCCTTCCTGATTCAAGGTACTTCAAAATTGCCTTTTACCATTTTGAACCATAATTCGGGAAGGGCTATATGGGAGTTGATCCCAATTTTTCTCCTCTCTTCATACCAAATCCAGCCGCTCGCCTTTCGAGAGGCGCCGCCTTGCTGAACTACGATCCGTCGCCCCACCTTGCACGCTCGGTCGGCGCACTAGTCTCGAAGACTTCAGTGCTTCGGCTTGAGGCAGTAGGTGCTACGGGTCTATGACCAGCTCGGTGTCTCTCGGTAGTTCGTACGCCTGGTCCAGGTCGAGTCGCATTGGTGTCGTTGACTCGTTTCCATCGCAGCCCGTCCTGGTTGTTTCAACATTGATCCTTTGCAATCGTAACCAAGTCACATGCACTTC